AAAATAAAATAAAGTCGCATAGTCATATCCGTAAAACATAGGTACTTTACATTTTAAATATTCACATGTGAAAATTAATATATCATTAAGAAAAAAATGTACCGGAAGCAATTTTAGTAGAAACAAACTTTTTAAACCAAAAACGAACGTGCAATTTGTCTATTTTATATACCTAGTCGAAGTGTAACACTTGGATGTAAATAAGAAAATTTCAATCAACATCTTTAAATAATCCTGATTATGTGTAATACTTTTACGAGAACACATAAAGATCAAATTTTAGCATCGGATTAGTTTTGTATATTTTATTATTCTTCATTTTGCATCACGTTTCTATTACATTTCAGTAACCGTTATCACGGACAGGAGTCATGAAATTGTTTGTCAAATGGTCTTTGTTTTGTCAGTCACAAGGGGTTTCTTAATTTTGCTCGTGTAATTAATGATCTAGATTTACGCATAATGAGCTATATGTGTTTTACTGTGATCATAGACATGATTTTATATTTTTGATGAGGTTATTTTCAGTTGTTACGTAATGAATTGCAAGCCATTTTCTCTATTTGAATAAGGATGTTATTAATTTATATAGCCTTTCATACTAATCGTTTTATGTATATTTACTTCATAATCTAGATTCTAAGGGTTGTCACAACATATGCGATAGGTTGGTGGAGTGATTATAAACACTATCACTTAAAGTATTGCGAGGATCCATAATAATAATGTCAAGAAATATATCTTGCCTTCTATTTACTGAATTTAAACTCATTAAAGTGATTATAAAAATCAGATGTTTTATTTTTCGATAATATTCGGAAGGTATCATCGACATATCATCTATATAATAAACAATTAGTTTGAATAGACCGAAGACCTCGATGTTGACATATGTCTGCAACTACTAGAGAGAGAGCATTAAATTCATTGCAATTCCAATTAACTTGTATGTAAAATTCACCCTTTCACTTGTTTAGCAACACTTAAGTAAATCTGGACTAAGAACAGGAAAACTAATAAATAACAATTGCACATCGAAAGTAAACATTGTAATTTATTTTATTTTTTTGTCAATTTTAGAATATTTAAATTTTTTTTAAAGTTATAGAAATCCTTAATATTTTGTACATTCCCGCAGTTATATAGTATTTTTAGAATAAGTTCGCTTAGTTGATATGTAAATTAATGTAGTTCACGATAGAGCTTAAAGGACCGTCTTGTTAAAGAATGTTCCTCTTTTTGTCCGATCAATACAGATTTTATTGTGAGTGGACGTTCCCACTACAATACCTTTTATTTTGGTATAATAATTAGTCGCAATCATTATTTTGTTCGCGTTTCTCTTGTCCGCTCCAAGGACAATATGTTCTCTAAGAAAATGGACGATAGATATTTCTCTTTAGCAGACAATTATTCTTTACATTATTTACAACGTGTTACCATTGGTATGCATTTATTACAAGAAGTACATTTACAATCGTAAAGTATCAACAATAAGTAAATAATGCTCTTACGATCAATAACCTACCAATGCATAGCCAGTGTCACAAAGAACCATCCTGAACCAGATACAGTTGAATGCCACCCACCCATAATAGAGTTTGTGAAAAGAGCGACTGACAGAAAAGACAATATATTTGAAAATGTTTACTATTAAAATACAATTATTTTTACATACTTACAATTTACCTCAAAAAAGAAGGGAATTCTTGGAAGCAATTTAATCAAAAGATTGATGGAAAAACTCATAAGATGACAAACCCCATAAGATAAGAATACCCATAAGCACTTGTATATAAATTACGTTGTGACTGTTATCTTTTCTTGGACCAATGAAGAGAGAAGCATCTAATCAGTATAAGAAGTAGCAACATATCTCAGATAAATTAGCAGTATGTGCAAACACAGTAGATAAATCAAACCATTAAGTTCATGTTTTTAAACCATAATCCTCGCTTAGGAAGATAGAAATATACCAAGACTTATCTGAGGGGCTATTAAAAATTAAAAGAGCATTCTAATTTCACTAAAGAAGATGTAAAAAGAAGAAAGTATAAAATCCCCTGCCCTTGACCACACAATCAAACCTTAAGACAAAGTTAGCTCATTCTGTCTGTATCCAGAGCAGAACGCGAGAATATTAAGACGCCAAAACTATGAGGCTAACAGACATACATTTTCACGTCTTCCGTCAGTCAATACAGTTACTGTTATGTAATCGAAGCCGCAGATAAAATATAGAATAATAAAATACACAAAGTAAATCCGAAGAATACTTTTATTTTAATGTTTCTCTGAGAAATAAAATATCTAAATACGAACAGCTTGAGGCAGAAACGACTTTTATACAAAACACCGGTTAACATTTTTCCTATATCTACTGCGAGAACTCACCAGTTCGGTTGACATCTGACAGAAATTTATATTTATATAGTTTCTGTACAATTTATATTCTTATGTCTTTTTTTAAAAAGATAAAATGATTTTAATGTTCTGAAAACCTTATGTCGTAAAATTTATTTGCCCACAAACTGCTTGTTTTTCTAATATTTTATTATACAAAGGAAGTATAATCGAAAAAATTTCAAAGTTTTATATTTATTTTATAAAAATAGACTAGAATTGTTGCTAAACCTGTTTAAAAAAGGTATTATTTTAAGAACAAATAATGTATTTTAAAGCCTATACCTATCTCCAAGCAGAACGTCTTTCAATATATTTCATTTTTCTCCGCACAACTTTTATTTTCATCTACTTATGTGGTAAACTACTCTTGAACTAGTTTTATTTTTAATTACCAAGGGGATACTTATCTACAGCAAACATGCGCTTTTTAAATCCACATAAAAAGCCTCACTGCATCCATTTACACGACCCATTTAAAATATACAATATTCTCGTCAGTAACAATTTTATGTGTTACTCGGAGCTAGTTTTCGTGAAATGCCGTACTGTATTTTATTATCAGAAACGATTCATTGACATTAAAATATTTAACAAACCGTAGTTACTTGTTTGCACTTTACTCAAATGTGAAATGTTTATTTCATTGATTGATTTAAAATGAAATGTATGCGAATGAATAATGAAGATTCCATTCCTTCGACAGCTTAATACTTTGACGTAGCCCTTATTTAGTCATTATGATTATTCTTCGAAGCTTTAATTAATATGCAACTCGTATGTATGTCATTACGAGTAAAAATAACATCCATTAAGATCGAACCATTAATATTTCTGTAAACTGAGAACCATAAATTATATATAACATTAAAAAAAGATTGAATGAATTCGGGCCATATTCCCTGGCTTGTGAATCGCTTAATTGCAAAATAATGATAACGAAAAATTATATTTAAATTTACGCCAATAAATAAAAGCGAAATGTTGTAAAGACCATTAAATACATCGCTAAAATCGAAATTATTCTGTCAATAAAACTCAAAAGTGTAAATAATCTGGAATGTTAAGCGTCATATAAATTTCGAGTAAGATGTTACGTTACTACTAAGTGGTGAAGTTTCTCCTTTACGACACTTTCTGTTTAAGTTTGAACAATGTCCGTCGTTTTCATAGTTTAAAAAGTTTCAATTAACTGAACTCACAGTTTCATACTTAATATTTAAGAATCGAATAATCATGAAGATGATTTAATTTAATCACAAAATTTTGTTCGTATAATTTTGTTTATTGATTTATGTAAACATATATTGACATATTTAAATTCAATAATAATTCATACATACGAAAACAAACAAGATTAAAATTTATTATGTTTTAATAAATAGTCACGTACACTTTTTTTGTATATCCTCAACAAATCAAGCATCGGTATTAATTTTGTTTCCATAAATATATTATTCAAATATCTTACTATATCTTACATTTATTTAAAGAAAAGAAATTGTTCTATATACTCTAGTTCTATACCATATTTTATTATTAAGTTGAAAAATTGATATTCCAAAGCTCGTGATGTTTGACTCAGCGGAAAAAGAAATAACTCCAGTGATGACTTAAATGATAAGTATTTTACTATTATTACGTTCATTTAATCGGAATAATCGGTTCTTAAGTCGTAAAAGTTATACGATAATATTATTACTTTAAGGGATTTATTTTTATTGGAAATCAATATTGTATAATGTTTTCAGACTGTAAGACAAAATCACTTACTTTGTTATTGTTTGTTTTCTATGTTTATTTAGTTATTGTTATTATATCATTTCGTATTAGTATTTTTTACAATACAAATTAACTTAAAATAGCGAATTATATATGAAGAAGATATGAAGATTTTTCATTTATATTATTACTTATCTAAAAGTGACATTTTAAGAAGACATGTACAATAATTTATGTATGTGAATATAGGGCGAAGTACGAAAGGAATAATATATTTTCTTTTTATTACTGTATTTGGGAAATGCTGGCTTGGTATTTTTTATCTTTACCTTTCTTCACTGTCTCTTGCATATTTAATAAGCATGTGTATGCAAACTAAATATACGACGAAACGAAGTAGCGCCTCGGAATACAAAATGGCGCCTTAAGGTACATACTGAGATGTTAATATTTATAAAATTATTTACGTTCTATTCGAGGGTTCGCCTATGTTAATATAATTTGTGAATTTTACAAAAATCCAGACTATTTCGTAAGAAAGTTCAATAATAAATAATCAATGTTTTTGATTGTTATCCATTGTCACTTCAGTTTCGTTTTCATAGGTCAAATAGTTTTAAACTTTCCTGATGCATTTGAAACACTATTTGAAGCGAATGCGATCGAATATGTAATAATATTTATATTAAACTTAAACAAATAAAACTATCTAAAAACCAAATTAAATCTCTTTATTATAAAACACTAGAATTAATTTACACATCATATAAAAAGTATATAATCAGCTTAGGACTTTATACATGGGCATAAATGAAAATACGATCTTGACTAACGATTCTTAATATAAACACTATATATAAATCTGTTTTAAAATATTAATTAGCAACAAACGCCTGGTCATCTTTCACTCCTGTTCTCGAGAGGTAATAATTTAACCATTCTTCAATCACAGGAATATTTTCTTCAGACCATTTCGCTTCCTCCCGAATGTTTCTTAGCGATTTCTCTATAATATGTTCGGCTGAACCGAATTCGCCTTTGTGATTGTCGTACATAATAGCTACAAGATTCATACCAGTCTTTGTAGTGAACTGGGAAGTCGCGGACGTTATCATGTTATCCCAAATATTTGTTTTACTCCTGAATCTATAGGAATTAAACAATTAATATCAATCAACCTATATAATTCTGCTATACAATACATTAAAAAGGAGATTTTGTTAAGTATAATGGAAGAATATGCTCTTATTAGTTGTATAATGATAAAAGCAACACTATATACTTACTTTTCTTTGAGCACGTCCCAATTATTGTTGAGGAAATAGAATAAGGTTGTGTAACCTTGAGAATTTCCCGTCAGCATACTGAATATTAAGAATAAATCGGTTTCAGTAAAGTTTCCGTTGCCTTCTAGTATCGTTATATTTAACAATTTTTCAATTTTCTTCTCATCAACTGGACAGCCAGCTAAAGTTTTAAGGAGATATGTTCTTTCACTTTGTTTTCTTGATGGTGGGAAGTTAATAACCCTTTGTAGTCCGAAATCCCACTCCTTTTGCGTTCCCCATTTGAATACCGGACAGATGTACTGATTGGAAATGCTTTGAAAAAAAAAATTAATATTAGCAATCGATTCTATAACATACAAATACTTGGTCAAAAAATAAGAAAATCAAAATGAAATATATGTATAGTAACGTCGGATTTATCATAAAAACAAGAAGCCGCAAGAAACCCTTTTTATATCAAACAATAGATGACATTATTAATGGTCACAGCCAACAAAATGGATTGTATCAACAAAAGTATTAATGGTGAAGAGAAAACATAAAAGAATTGGAGTTTCTTTCAGCTTTTTAAGTAAAATATTGAATAGTTTTCAAACTTTAAGATTTTTTTTTTTAATTTTATAACTCATTTTACTATAATAAGTAATATATTTTTGATAGTATAACGCAACGTCAACAACCTTAAGTGTCATTAATGAATTCATAATAAATGTTAATGTACTATAGAGCTACAGATTTATTAATAATTACCATATTATAATTATTATAATTACGTTAGATCACATTATAATTAGCAAATTAATAATATAATGTATTAAAGGCACCTTTATAGTCAAAATTAAATGTTACATCAGACATTTTTTTTAATGAACGCGACAAAGGAAAACGCTATTCATCTTCCCGCGATATATTTAATATTCTTTACGTATTTTCTTCTAGCTATTAATAACTCATGTTTCTTTATAATATTTTCGTGAATGTATTGTGTAATTGATCTTTTGGTTGTTTTGTTATTGGGTAACATACTTCAAACGAAATAATGAAAAATTTTCCACAAAATGTATACAGGGTGACTGGTGAATTACTATCAATACTTGAGGACGTGATATTTGACGATCATATATGACAAAATAAAAATTAGTATAACATAAATATTAATAAACTTCTAAGTAAAGTTAATCAAAAGTTGTGTAATTAATTACGCATCGTGTGAACACCCTACAGATTAGGTATACACTCACACTCACACATACGCGTGAGGGGGCGTGGTGTTGTATCAGCACGCCGCCGCACGCGTTCACACTGTGAACACTTGGATCGTGTCCACACTTTATTTATTTACAGGGAAATTTTGTCAAAAATTAAGTGCCTATTTTTTTTAACATAATTCGAATGAGAATCATGTACCGAGTATTCTCCTTAAATATTGATAGTAATTCACCAGTCACCCTGTATATGTATAAATATGTAGGTTATATTTATTTTTCTTTTTTATTCACATTTAGATTCATGGAAACCATTAAAGTATAAGAGTATTCGATAAACAAAAATTAAATTAGAAAGCAAAATTTACATTTATTTTGTCAATTCAAAATGTCGATACTAATAAATATTTTTAAATATAATTGATAATTTATTCTATTATCAATATTTTAGAAGATTTATTCAAATTCATTTAGATGTCTTATTTACAAATTAAAATAAGAAACATAAAAATATGCTAAAAGCAATATCTAGAATTAATCGTATGTGAAACAAATGTACGAATTTTGTAAAACAAACATAATCTGAAGCTGATTTTCAAGCTGTCTTTTCTAGCTTTACAAAATAAGCAATAATTTAACTCAAATATATAGACTAAGCATTGTACTTACGGATTTCCTTCATCGGGATTCGGTGCCTGCATCCAATTATTGAACTGCTCCTGAGCCTCAATGATACAAGGCTTGAAACCAACTTGACATAAGAATGTTTTGGTCAACGAGAATAAACTCTTTCTTCTGTTATCTCCATCATCTTTTCCATCTCTTACCATTTCGTTATACAGAGGTGTTAAAAGCGAGCGAACATACGCCTAGATAAAAATAATATACTTTTAATATAACGCTTCACTGTCATTTAAAAATTTTCTTCCAAACTTTACTATAATTATTGCATGGCATATAGTTCCTTCGTATATATCGGTAATAATAATATTATTTCAATTAATACAACGAACAAAATCTATCTATAACATTCACTAAACATAAAAGGCCATATAGATATAACTATTATTAAAAAAATATACAATTTTTTTTACATTATAATAAAATACTACTCGCTTTACATATTATTACTTTTGTTTCAATCTAATTCTAGTATTTTCGAAATGTAATATAAAGGAAAAACCAATTGGTAAAGTTAAATTATATGTACAGCGACGGACCCTCAAACAAAACTTATATGAGCTGTCTGAAATATAATTTTCAATGTATGATATTTCAGTAATGGCAGTTTTTGTTTTTGTTTTAATCGTTCTAGTGATTGGAGAGGAAAATGTGTTTAGTATTAAATTATTCTATATTTTAGAACAAGATCTGATAATTCGTTAATTTTACTGATTATTTAATGGTGAAATAACGTTTTTTGTAGGTTGTTGAATTAAGCTAAAACCAATTTGAATGTAATTTCTTATAGAATTATGCAGTTTATAATCTGTTTATGATTTCTCAAAGAAAACTTTTACGGCAATGAAATAAACGGTCAATATCTAGTGTCGTACAAATTAAAATACTTACTCTAAATTTATCAACAATGCACGGACAAAGATGTCTTCCAATGTGGTCGATCATTGTGAATACTGGATCCCATACTAAATGATTTCTTTCGTGTTCCATAAATAATGTCATATTAAACGCTGTTGCAAATGAAAGTTCTCCAGCGTAAGCCAAGTTCCAAGCATCGTGTAAAAGCTTAGCTCGTGTGAGCTCTGGTATGTTGACCCTGTTCTCACTTTGAAGATACTCTGATATAAGGTTCCAGTTATCCTGGTCGTAGTTTACTGGGAATGGAGCTAGTAAAAGAACAATTATTACTTTAAGATCAATATCAATGAATATTCTATGATGATTTAACCGTCAAAAAATTTTGCTTAGTGTGGGTGATCAGAAAATTTACTCCAGTATTAAGAAAGTTATTAACGTTGTTGAGAAGTTTGTTTTCTAATCATTTCATGGTCATAATTTTCAATACTTTTTAGTAACACCTCTAAACAAATGACCCTGAACTTATATTGTTACGAAATCCAAAATACGGACCCTAAGTTTCAAACTTTCATGAGCAAACTTTTAGTTTTAACTCGCAAATTAATTCATCGAGTATTCAAGACAGGATCAAATACAAAATATTCCTTATTTATTTTTAACATCAGATAGACTCGAGACCCGCACGGCGATTCCATAAATTGCTGAGAGGTTTCTTTTCCTTTATAGATTTTCACTTACCAATTTCTTCAGGATTCACTATGATGAAGTGCTTTTCATCCGGCATGTTGAGCAAGTTGAGATCTGCGTGTCTGATCCAAGAGGAAGGGGTGAAGTTTTTGAAGGAGAGTCTGTCAGAACGACACACGACCAGCGGGGCGCTCCACAACATCTTATTGGATGAAGGCAGATCGTGAGGACGTTCGCGGAGATACACTTTCTAAATGAAGTTGGAAATTATATATCAATCAATTATTATTAGATCATCCTATAGTTTGTTTACATTTATAGGAGAAGTTATCCATATATTGAATAAGTAAAAGGAAATAGATATTTATATTTTTTTAGAAATTTAAAGTTGGAAGAAGTATTAGTAACAAAAAGTTTGTGTTGCGACTTTAAGATTATATGTTTTCTATAAAGAAAGATAAGGTAAGTTGTAAATAATTAATAACATTAGACTTATACAAAATTAACTTTTACGGATTTACTTGAACATCAAAAGTTTGTATTCGATGTTTAGAAACTTAAACCCACTATTCTCTAAACACAACACTCGTGTTAATAAATTATTTGCTACATATGTTGTATGAAGGATGGGTACAGTTTCCAAAGTTTACCTGAGTCACGAAAGCAGTATTAGTTTCGTAATTTCTCTTAACAGTGATCACTGGAAGTCTATCTTTTTCTATCCAACTAGTGGCTACTGTTTTAATATTAATATCTTTCGGGATCTTTCCATCTGCTAATGCAGCTTCATTGAGGGCATTCCAAATATCATCGCCAGTAAAAGTTTTAAACTTCCTGCATTAAAATATTTATAAACAAATGTAGGTAACTTATTACAAGCAACAAATTTACAATTTAAATTGTTGGTATTAATAATGCATTCAATGAATGTGAAACCATTTATCAGTAGATCGGAGATCGACGATTAAAATATGAATTGTTGTATTATGCAGTGTAATAAAAATCTGCAATTTTACTTCAATAAATAAGCCCGATATTAAAGTTAGAACATTCGAGTTAAAGCAAATAAACGTTCAAAAATTACTTCCAAAGCGACAATACCTTGATTCAATGAATTTCCTCATTCCCTTTCTGAAAGTGTCTCCACCAATAGTATAATTGAACATTCTGAACAATAGCTCTATCTTTGTGCAAGCTGTCTCTTGTTTCATGCCAGTGATCCGGGAGTGTGGATATCGTTTACTGAACTCGTAATACAAAGAATAAAGAACAGTCATCGGCCATTTTCCTTCCATCTCTGAACCATTGTTAATCTATGAAGGATAGAAAATCGACTCGTTATGACGGACGTAACAATTATAACTTACGCTTTTACTCATGACCTATATTTATTATTAAAAGAAATAGCGTAGTTTCAAATTCAATTCAAATCTATATTTTTAATATATGGAATATAAATTGTATGTTATTAAACCCATGAGTTCGTTTTGTACCAGCTAGCTTCTAATACTACTAACTTTAAAAGCAATCTCCGCAGCAAGGTATCCAACTAGTGCTTTGTTGAGATGAGCATCGCTCCACCAAGCTGGAGTAACGAGAGCGCCCAGCCACTGGTAAGACAATTCTTGGGACATCTGCAGGTAGCCTCGTGAGGTCAAATCACTTTCCCTAAGGAAGAAGCATAATGGGCTTTGAAAACTATCACTGCTCTACAAAGATATGGGTAAGGATATCTCAGTCCAATCTTATTATAAAAGATTCCGTAGAGTGTACACAAAAGATATAGAAAAGGTCTCTTAGTATCTTATAAATAGAACAATGTCTCGACTTTAAGAGTGTGTTCATTTTTAATCAAAAAGATGTACTTATAACTTTATTAAAAAAATATGGTCGTAGCCTTTTAATTTCAATTTACTTATAAATTAAATCAGATATGTTAGTAAAAGTTTTAATGGACATAGTCTAGACATGATTTGATATTTGTCATAAAAAATGTCGAACTACGATCATGCTTTTTATTTCATAAAGTGTTTATAGGAATATTTCTTTAAAGTCATGAGTAAAAAAGAAAAAAATAATGATTGCAAGGTGAATTGGAACAAAATATGTAAGTTAGTAGCCAAGATACAATTTTTATTCCAAATTTATTAAATACTTACTTAAAAACTATCAAACCCCAATTATCAGCGGGCTTTACCCCTTGATAGTTGGGTAAAGCCACTATGTCCAATCTGCGTAATGGTAGTGGAACTTGCCAGAAGTTTGCGACTTCAGAAAACACTTGAGCCACTTTCTCATTGAGGCCTTCTAACATTTCTATAAATTCTGGACGACCCCAAACACGTATTTCTAAAAAAAGGATATATTACGTAAACTCTAAGTCATTGGACATTTATATTTGTCTTTCAAATCTTTGATGTATATTAAAACAATATATCAGAGCGTTCTAACCAATATTATTTCCATTTTCGTCTTCATAATGTATGGCGCTGCCAAATTGTTTGAGGTCAGCTATGACAAGGCCGAGCGTGAATGTCGACATTGGGGGAGTCCTCTCGAAGTGATCCCAGACCGCGTTTGGTTCATCGTTACTATTAAATAAACATTAATTATTATTACGTATATTTCTTTTATTATACTTTAATATTTTCTTCTAAGTTCTATACGTAAAATTAATGTCTATAATTGGTATTCAATTTGCAACAACTTACTTGAACTGTCGCAAAAAAAATACTTTCTATAAAATTACTTATTGTTTATAATAAAAATTTTAGTATACCAACTTCTTATAAATAATATAAACGAGTTAACATTTTTTAGTTAAGTATGCAAAATCTAAGTTACCATATCGAAAATTTTATTGTACTTAAAAAAACATTACGTAACACAAATCTCTAAAACAAAGAAGCATTTTAAATATTATAGATATAATTCGAAATCCCTCAGCATTCCATGTATTCACCGTGCGGGTGCCGGGTCCATCGCGTTGCAGGCTGAGGAGCTACAACAGTTCCTGGGACTTGCGACCCAGGTGTAGGTTTAAGGGTCCCTATCTAACGCGCGTTATACGCTCACCTCCACCCTCCAAGCTCCTCTTTCTTAGATAATAAAAAAATAAGAAAAACGTCACAGAATCTATACTTACATATCTTCTGTCCTAGCAACAGGTACATTGCTAAGTGCTACCATATCTCTCGGTCGTACGACGCTCAGTTCAAAGGGAGTCTTGTAAGCAGGTTCATCAAAACATGGGAACATACGTCTCGCGTTATTTGGACGCAGTTGTGTTCCTGCGACTATCCTGTAAACACGAATTTTTTCGTGAAAAATTACTTGACAAAGAAAGTAACACGTATTTAGGCCACACATTTTGTCACAAGTAAATAATGAAGATTCTGAATTTTAAATTACCTCTCAACCTCCTGTTCTGTAGAATAACTAGTTTTGAAAAATGCCTCCGTGGTAGCCGTTTGCATATTACCTTTGAAACTAAACTTAATGAACCCTCTTGTGGATTTCGGTACCGTTTTTTCAAGTCGTATTAAAGCTATCGGTTTCTTCAAATCCACAGTTACTCTCTTGATAGGAATCGTATTCAATTCTTCTCTGTGAAATTTTATAACTCTGTGAATATTTTTGCGTGAAATTTACGAAATTCGATAGCAAAATAATATACAAATAACGAAGTATTGGAAACGCAATTCTTAGAGTTAAAAGCGTTCAGTATTTCACAGCAATATCGATTGAATTTAAATTTCCAACTGGGTCAGACGTGCAGATTTTTTATCGTTTCGGTGCTAAATTCCTTTTTATAAAACTTTCTGCAGCAAAACCCACATGCTGAACCATTTTAAAGTTTTATTTAAACAGAATCCTTAAGTCGGTGTGAATTTTTAATGATTCTGGACATAAATTCCTTATAAAAGTTCGAGATTCTTTAAAAAAGTTAACAACAGCTTATAAATATACTTATAAGTATTTGTCTTATTCTTTTTATGTATGAATATTTTGCTATTAAATTTATTCTCTTAATAATGTTTTATTCAAATTTCTTAAATCCGACTTAAATGTTAAAAAAAATATTGCTTACCTTTAACATATATTTATATTAATTTAACCTAAATAATAGATCAATCCAAAAAAGTCAATATAGTGTGGTTAAATCCAAAATTTTACCCAATTTAAAATATATTCATTTTTCATATCCCTTTGCATTTCCAAGTTAATAAACTTAATTATAATTTACTATTCCAACCCTTATGCAACTTTGTGGGGATTTTGACAGAAGAGATTACTCACACTGAGATTATGCAACAGTAATGGAAAAGGCATATTAACATTGCTCTAAGGAGATGAAGTTTTTTGTTTCCCAAAAGCATTATGCCATTTTAGAGCACAGTTAAAATAAACGTTATGATATATGTGTCATACTTTTCTACCCTATAATTAGTGAAAGTGATTCGAATGGTTTTATAATATGCTAAATTTTTAAAATATATCACGAAAACTTAAATTTCCATTTATTTTTTTGTAAAAATATAGGCATTATTAAATACAAAACAAAAACAAGCTAATATTTTTCGGATATACTACGCGACTTTATCATATATTATATATACGAAAAATATTAGTTTCATTTAAATGAATAGACTCGCGAAAATATTAGATATCAATATTATCAAGATTGGTGAATACGTCTAAAAGGGCATTAATTCACATATGTATCTGTAAATATTATCCAGTTATAGTTTACTTTTGGTACATGCAGTGTAAAAATAGAAAGAATGCTCACGATTCGCTTGATAGATACGCCTGCATTTCGGTCTCAGTGATTTCAATATCGTGGCCACAGTGGACGTTTATTGTATGGGAATCTTCTAGCCACGTCACATTTATAGTAACATGCCCTTTATACATAGCGTCTTCCAAATACGGCTCCAATTCCAAACGATATCCCGTCGGTTCAACAGATTTCTCCAATCTACTCTCCATTGCAAGCCCGTGAGCATTATTCAAATCAATGCTCCTTGTTTTTATTATATGAAATCCACGCATCTATAATAAATTACGTAATTATATGATGAAAACTTTAAAATTTAACTTTCTACTGCTTTTAAATTCTCAATATAAACAAATTAAATCGACCCTTTTTATAATTAACGTTCGTTAAAAGTTACCTTACAGAAGTTTTCGAATTCATAACTTATTTTGCTCTCACTTCAGTTTCGTTAAGATCAAATTCTCATTAACTTATCTAATAAGTATTGAAATTAGCGTAAAAGAAGTTGTATTTGAAAATTTTTAAGTTTGTATTTTATATATTTCAATTTTCATAAGCAATCTATATATATTTAATGAGGATACTTCTAATATTTTGTTGAAACGTATTTCAAAACTCATTACAACTTCTTAATACATATTCAACCTTATTGGAGATAATATTCAGTTAGTCTAAACACAATTACACGTAGACATGTTAGATGTAATAAGCCTGCCGAGCGGTTCAAAATAGGTGTTTAATATCGTAAAGCTAACGAGGTAGGTAACTCACCTTATCCGGTGGAAGGGAATTGCCACTCACACAGAGACAAACTAACACACACACCTGTAGTATATTCATCCTGGTTCTATACCTACAGGATTAAGAGTGAATATCAGTAAGGCATTGAATATACGTAAAGAAATTCTTAGTACTTAATAAGGGACATATATCTGTATTCAAATATGTATATGATTATAACAATCCTTGTTCTTACTTAACACTATGAAAGTTATATATAAAATTAACATTCTGACGTCACTATAACTATATCTTTATATTTATACAAAATGCTATAAAACTTCTGGAGCTTGTAGATCAGAAAGATTCATTTGATGTTATGATCCAAAGACCAAAATGATCCCAAATATGTATAAATGGTAGAAACTATTCAAGATACATAAATTTATCTTTAAGTTAACAAAACATTTTAAAAGTTCGTAAATCCAGAATAAAATGGTAGCGTATTCGATATTTTTAAACGTTGTTTAAAAGATCCGTTGTTTAGTAGTATATAGAGAACTATGAAATGAGACGTATAAAAAATATATATTTTTACGTGTTGTAGTTCATTTTACAGAATTTGTTTATGGGCATAATTATACTGAAGCAAAAATATGCCATAATGAAATCCGATTTTGAATGTGCATTTGATAACCAAAGAGGGGTAGTAAACTTTTCGCTATATTTTTTTTATTTATTACATTATTTTTATTTTTCTAAACGATAAAATAATATAAAGGCAGTATAAACAATATATTCACCAGAATGGGCAATAAATAAAAAAAAAAACATCCAATAAATACTTTCTCAATATAAGCCAACTCCTTCGTATTTTCTTTCAATACGGTCAAAGTTTTGAACGTGGCTTTGTCAATAACGCAGTTTAGATTTGGAGTGCCCTACTTTACAATCAATGACAGCTTGATCCCTGTAAGCTTCCCGTGACGATATACCGAAAACTTTTAGCATCAGCGATTTGACTACGTAATACTTATAAAACTGAATAATCTTTTCTATATTATACCTCTGCACGAATGCATAATGCCGGTATAGTTGAAAAAGGTTTATTATATTTATGACTAGCTGTGCCCACGACTTCGTTCGCGTGGAATAGTGACTATGAGCAGCGTTTTTTTTTTTTAAATATATACTTATTTTTATTTTGGATCATAATTAATCACAGTCATTTTGGGTAGCTAAAAAACCTACTTTACTGTAATGCTTCTCTATATAAGATTAATGGTGCCTATGTATGTATAAGCAATAGTGTTCGACGTGATTCTTTAATTTGACATAACTTTTTTATTTATGAACCGACTGACATGAAACAAACACTAAAGCATAACTGAAGCATACCACAATATATACGTGAAAAGCGCATCCAACTCGGATCAGCCGTTTCTGAGATAAGCGTGAACAGACAAACAGACAAAAAAAAGTTAATTACATTTTTGGGTTCGACATCGACATAACAATAACCCCTGCTATTTTTTTTTATTTTTATTTTCAATGTACAGACAGCACTTTTCTACAATTTTATTATATGTATAGATATTATACTCACCGTCAATTCTATGTGGCTGGTCGCGTCTGTATGAACTCCGATCAGCTCAATCCCGAGCAATTGACTCCAGGATATGTTCCATTTGCTCTGACGACACTGATTGTCGCATGTTTGTATAGTAAAGTGTTGCTAATAAGCCTTACGATACAAGTTACCAACCTGTGCAATTGTTGTTACATTGATATGACGCACGTTGGTGGATCTGACACAGATTTAACTCTTATAGAATGATTACCTTTATGGTGATTATATTAATTGTACTTTGATTCCCGCCAAAACAGTTACGACAAATATACTTAAAGGAATACTATTGTATTATTATTTACATTTGTAATTCATATGAATGCTGAGAGTAATAGGTATATTGTGTTGATATATTGGTAGGTAAATGACGTGATTTTATCGAAAATTATTTTGCAGAGTAAATAAACTCAATAAAAATGTAACATTCCCGAAATTTATGGAATACTTAAAGTACGACAAAGAAGTATTTATTACATATAAATAGGTATATTAAATTTTATAACTGATTTACATAAAAAATATTTAAACAATCTCATATAACTCATCACGTTAAGATATGTATGAAACATTGTTTGAACTAGAAAAAAATATGACGCACTTCAATAACACTCGACTAGAAAACAAAAGGAACAGTCGACTGCAAAAGAGAAATGTATGTTGTACGTTTAATTTCGTTGGACAAATGAAATGCTGAGCTTACATAACAAAAGAATCTCTCCAAGATTCTTAATATAGAAACTCAAGAAAAGTACAAGAAGATAAAAAAAATTGTTTATTAATATGCAACGCTATATAATTAATACTTACTTCTTCCTTACGTAATTATAATAAGAAAACATTTAATAATTCTTAAAGATATCTTGAACATTAAATATTTAATACGAAACCCAATTAGTCGCTAAGTGAAGTATCCAAACGAGATTTCATCAAATTGTTTAGCGTACTTATCGCCCGTTCTACCTCATTAGAACCTAATTAATATTATCAGTATTCTGAATCACTGTTCTATTCTGGGCATAGGAAATAGATCAGACTATAAATTTGGTTTTCATATAAGCTTTTGATGTGTTAAAGATATATAAACATGTACATATTTTGCCTTTCTAAATAACATGTTTATTAGGAATAGCTTTCGCTGTGATGTGGATTATGTAGCATCATACTTCAATGAATGCCTTTCCTAAAGTTGCATCTACGTCATCACCAAATGTCATTAAAATATATTTATTTGTTAAATGCTAGCTGATTTACTATAATTTTAACGTCCATACTATGTAGAAGTATTGAGTCAGTAATCATACTTATTTACTATTGTAAACATATTAATGATTATTTTAAATATCACAAATACCTACATGTTGTCTACAATTTAATTGAATTTAAGTAATTTTGACAGTTTTTCTTATATAACACATATAAAAAAATGTACATGCGTGTGCAAGATTTTCAGAAAAGGCAGGTGTAGACGGTCAAAATTTATTAAAAGTGTTTAAGTATACATAAGTGCTTTATTAATTCATTTTAATACAAAATATATTGGATATATAATTTGAAGGATGGATATTGTTTAATGAGATCTAAGATTTTAGCAAGTTCTCATTTAAATGAAACTAATATTTTCGGATTTTACTTCGCGTTTTATTTTTGATTAGAAACTACATACCCCCGGCGTTTCGGCTACTTTTCAGCAACCGTGATCACGGGCAGACGAGATGTGAAGTCTCGTCTGAAAAATATTAGTTTCATTTAAATGGATATTGTTGTTATTATTTCGATATAAAATTTTGAAGTCGAATTTTTTTTAAACTAAATCCCAAAACCGTCTGTTACCATCTGCCGAACATAACAAAACATGAGGTTTATTCATACAGCCTGCCGTGTTTACACAGAATCCCTAGAGACATGAGATTTCAAATAACATAGTATGCCTTACCGATATAAACTACATATAAAAAATAAACTGTTTTCTGATATACATCACTATATTTTATTATAGTATAATTAATTCTAAATATAATTGAAAATAAATGTGTAATAAATTGTTTAAAACACTTGAATTTATTTTTAATTATCGTTCCCTTGTTTATTTCTAACAGTGAAGTTTAATCTATTTACCATCTAGAAAGTTCTAGAAAATTTAACATGTGATTACATAACGAACACGAAAATATCAAATATTCATTAAAATTTACCTTTCGCAATAGTTTATTAACAAAACCGTTTCAAATTCATTACGATAAGTTGATAATGTTGAAAAATTCTAGAAATTTCCCAAAACAACACAAAGTTCATATATACATGTTAAACTCGTTAGTACTTTTATCGATGAGAATAAATGCTTAAATATACATGAGATGTATTTACCAGATCATTAAGTATAATTTAGTATTGCAACTATAATATTAGTAAACAATATTGCATGAAAGAAATCGGTAAATACCCGAGACTTGCTATATATATATGAATATGTATATCAAACGTATTCCACAATGAATTATTAATAAGTATAAAAAAACAATGCTCTTCTTTAACATCATATATTTTTAATACACGTGTATACATATATATATTTATTTTGTCATATATGATCGTCAAATATCACGTCCTCAAGTATCGATAGTAATTCACCAGTCACCCTGTATATTTATCAATATTTTTCAATGAATCTTTAGATTATTTTCTTCAGAATACTCCATTTAATCTGTTGCTATTTTAGTATTTATGTTTTGATTACTGCTTCACATTACGTGCCTTTTCAGACGTAAACACAAGTGTCACTGAGAAACCGCCAGGTGACAGATCGAAATTACCAAAACCATTTACGGATTAGTGAAGTGACAACGATACCTGTAGCTATCAATAAATGTTGCATTTGAGGCCGCATTAAGCCCACAGAATTATTAACAACATACATATTATAGTTCT